ACATACATACATACACACACACACGGCACGGACATGCCCGTGCCCCTGCACATGCCATGCACATGCGCATACACATACCTTTACACATACACGAATGCATGCATACACAAGTAGAGACAGACCCACAGGCATCCACATGCGCCTCGGTCTGATCCTTCTGTCCGTCATTTGCGTTTCATCTGTCTCTGGATGTGCATGAATGCATGTACGAATGCAATGCAGTGGCGTTGATGCTTTTGAACATTTTGGTGTACACCCGTATTTGTACGCACATGATTGCGTGCCAATGTATCAATGTATCTGCACATGTATGTATCCTGTGGCACAGCAACTGCTGGGTGTCGCGGTTCGCAGTATGCAAAGTCTGACCCAAATGCGGCATGTAGTCCTCCCCCAGCTGACTGGCCTCTCCGCTCCTCTTCGTCCTCTCTCTGATATCCTTGCAGGTCTTTTTGTGCACCTGCATAGGTGTACATTGTCACAGCTCCTGTCAAAGGAGTGCCGGAAGTGCTGCTGGCAGATGCATGTCATCTTGTCCTGAATTCCTCTTCGGCTAATGCGCAAAACTTTTCCGCCACGCAGCTGTTCCATGAAGCTGCCATGAGCCTGCAGTCAAAGAAACGGACTTGCAATGTTCCGTCCAAAACGAGTCACTGACAATGCAAGAGACATCAAGCTATGCTCAAAACTGATTCTCTGATTTCTGTTGCCCGACTGCCCGCACTTGTGGTACTGAGCTACTTGCCTCACCTGTGGACCTGGTAGAGAGGCTGTTCGATGACGATGTTTTCTTTGATCAATCCATACCCTCTCCCTCGCATGATTTCGCAGCTCCGGCTTCCACGCATTGGTCAGGAAGACTTGGAGCACAGGCTTGAGCTGACGTCGAGAAGGCTCTCAACGAGGGCGCAGACCAAGACAGAAGCGTCGGATGCAAAGATAGACAGACAGGCTTCACATGGCTTCGCAGCCTGATTTCTCGACCCCAGTGGCCACACGAAGGTCCAAAGACCAGGGCCATAAGGCCGGAGGCCACCCCCTTTGAGAAGCCCTCTCACGCCTCCTGTGTGACTCGCGACTCCGGGACTGCCTGGAAGAAGCAAGTCTTCGCACACTTCGAGCACAGTGACATCTACTTCTCCAACCTTTGCTGTAGCAGATGGACTTTGCGCAGCCGCATCGGCAGCATCTGCAAGCCACTTTGCTGCTTGCCCGATGCCTGAACCAGGAGGAGGCTGACGCGGGAAAGCTGGAGAGTTGCCCTGCCTGAAAACGCCTGGAACACGGCATGCCTTGATCACTTGGGTACCGCAGTTTTTGCTGGCTGTCTGTGCTGCGGCTTAGGGGCTGCAGCATCCGATGACATGGGTTCACCACAGCTACAAGAACATGAGCGCCGGCAGCAGCCTTTTGGAAAACTGCTCCTGCCTAGGCTCGCAGTGCTCAATTTGCGCGCTTCAGTCTGCTCCGCTCCGCTCCGCTCCCTCCATGAGCTACGGACAAAGGAGGTGACGACCACTCCGATTCCTCGACCAAGCATCCTGCAGCAACTCACGCTTGAATTCGCTGTTGCTCCATGCCGGTGTTCGACGTTCTGGGCGGGCAAGCTGGGGAATCATGCCCGTCCAAAAATGACATTTGACCGGGGTTTGCTGAGCAAAGAAACAACAACACGCGAGATCATCATTCAACACGTCCTTGCAGCGTTTCGTCGCATAGCCATGAGGCACACGACATGCCCATTCGCAAGGATTTGTGCATGCAGGCGTGCAGGAACCAGAGTGTGCCCAAAAGATGCTCCGAAATCACATGACATATGGAAGCGATGTGCCACACCTCGTCGAGCCTCCGACAGCATGAGATATAGCTTGGGCCACCAAGGCAGTTCGCCTCAAGAGCAGGCTGTGCAGCCCTCGGGCTCCAGCTCTCTGTCACTGCATTGCCTAACTCCATCTTGAGGTCCACGAAAAGCCTCGCGACGCAGCGACGCGCCAGGCCGAAGGCTAGCGGACGAAGCAGACTAGACATAGAATTGGCCTCGGCCTGCAACCTCACGCACAAGCGTCACTGGCATGTCATTGTGTCATAAACACGGCCTTGCTGACGCCGTCCTCGACCCCCTGACATCACGGGCATTAACGACCCCCTCATTTCAGTCAACCCTGCGAGGCAGGCCCCGCGACCCAGTAGAAATGCCATCAAGCCCAAGAGTAGAGCAAGAAGGGTCATGGCCTGACCGATGTAGAATCGGTTAACTCTCAAAAGCAAAACGTGACGCAGTTCTGGGATCCAAGCTACCAGGACAGCTGCAACGATCCGACGGTCGTGTGACTTCATCTTCAACACTGATGCCTGCGCCACTCTGAATGCGGTGTTTTCTTTCGAGTCGGCAAGCCACAAACCCAAAAGAAACACTGCAGCGATCGTGGAATGCCTTATCACATGCCGATGCTTACCGCCAATCCAGCTCAGGCAGAAAGGAGAGAACACGGAGACCAGAGACATCCAGAGACCAGAGCAGTGTGCCACAAGCCGGAGCTGGAGCCCCGATCAAGCCTCAGGATGCATTGCCTTGCCACCTTTCAGTGGACCTGGGCCCTCGTTTGCACTGCCGATGCCTCGGAACTTGGTTTTCCAAAAGAGGATCGTAGTCCCGCGTTCCAGCCGCTCGGCACAAGCTCAAGGCGAAGTGCAAAATGGATGGTCACACAAGCTGTAGTCGCTTGCTGAAGAGAGAGTGCAAATTTAAGAAATCGAGTGTGCCCTCGCCCACAAAAGGCTGCTTCTTAAGCGGCGCTGTCGCGAGTCGTCGTGGCTGGAACAGTGAGAGGAAACCCAGTCCCAGCCCGAGATCTCCAAGAATTCCAGCAATATCCCGTTTGGAGGCTCCCAAGGCACCAAGTGCAAAAGTCGCATCAGACTGTAGAACTTCGGAGCCCGCAGTTGGGACACATTTCGACACCTAGGCGGAAGGATCAAGTTGCTGAGGATGCAAAGCACCCCTTTAACTTAGGTGTGCATGCCAGTTCTGCTGCCGGGGCTAGTCTGTCTGGGCAGAAGACACAGAGTCTGTCCCAGAAGTCCTGATGGGATGCTTTTGCGGGTGTGCGGAGATGAAACATTGCTTTTCCCGAGGAAACAAGCCCTTGTTATGCGTTGTTTAGTTTTCTTCCTGATTCTCGTGTCGATACGAAGCATGTACGTCTAGCTATTTGTGCACAGACTAACCACTTATGCGTTATGTCATGACTTGTAGCTGCACTGCTGTGATACAAGATCTTGGGCCTCAGACCTTTATACGAGCAACCCTATTATGCAGCAAATACTTTAGAACTGCCCACCCGTGTGAGACTCTGGATGTACCACACAAAATCTCCTTGGGTTTACGGCACAATCTCACTCAGAAGGGTTTAGGGCTTGGTGTGACCCATCGAGTCAGAATTGTCAGTCTCTGGGACCTCAGTCGCGGGTTCTGCATGGGTCGCCCGTCGTCCCCTGCAATGGCCTGGATGTTTGGGGACTCTGTTTAGTGCTTAGCTTGTGGGGGAAGGTGCTCAGAGATGCTTAGGATTGTTTGCCACCCATCATTCCCTGTTGGGGTTTGGGGTTTTTCAGAACCCAAGACTCAGGGTTGCCAGCCATCACATTTCTAGCTCCCTGTTCGCGATATCCTTTTGAGGTGTTGGGTTTTATCACCCAAATAAATGCACGAATTTTTGTGCTCAGTATCTCCTTTGGATTTTGATTTTTCGGAAGGACAAAAGGGATGTCTTCCATCGGGCCTCCAGTCTGAAGCTTTGAGGATTTGCCCATGCTTGTGCGACCCAATCACCCCATTCAAGGCTTATACTGTATGCCATTCACTATCTGCGTGTAGAGCTAGTCTAGAATTTTGGGTCTAACGTTCGACACGCATCATCGTCTTAGGGTTGGGCACCCATCAGCTTTCATCAGAATTTGTCAAATTTGGGAGGTGCCTAGGAAGCGGTTTCCCTTTTTGGGGCTTCACCCAGCACGTGTTTTGGAGCTTGGGGTTTGCTTCCCAAGTTGCCCATTCTGGAGTTGTTGGAACTCGGTCACCTTTTTTTTGGGGGGGCGGTGTTTGGTGCTCATCATCTGTTTCAGAGATGTTGGGTTCTTGTTCCAAAAAAATATTGAGGTTCGGTGTGGCTTTGGAATCAGTCATGCATAGCCCTCCAGTCATACCCTGTTGAGGATGCGCTTCTTAGTCAAGTGTGGAATATGCCACCCATCATTTTCCTGTAAAGCATTGGATCATGTTCCTTCGAACGATTGGGCTTGTCACCTACCAGTCAACATTTGCACCTTTTTTGCGGCACCTGTCATTCGTTTTGGGAATTATGAACTATGAACTACGACAGTAACTACGATCATCCCTGTACGCAACGCAACACGAAAAAAATAAGGATTGATTTTGGTCGACAAACACAAACCTTGGAAGGGGTAAAAAGGTTCCTTTAATTTGCTCAGCCCCAAAGCCCCCGGACTTTGTATATGCTGACATAGCTGTATGGCTGTTTCCAAGCCAGAGTTAGCATATATATGCAAATATGCAGGCACATGATTGCATCCATGCACACGGGCCTGAGATTCACATGAAGCTTCAACAGAACTAGATACTAAATACATGTGCATGTATGTTTGTATATGTCTGCATATAAACATATACACATATATACAGATACATACACATATACGTGAACGTATACATGATGCAGGGCTGCCACACCCCCCGTCCCCCCCCCCACCCACCCCATGAGATGTAACTTGGGC